TGCAAGAAGCAGAACAGGAGGACTTATATGGAGCTTTTGAAAGGAATGGATACCCAAAAAGCACAATCGGCCATTACCTTTGCGACAGCCCACAACAAGAAAACACAACACGCCTAGACACACTAGTCATCCTACCGTACATCAGGGACATATCACAGATGACTACAAGACTATTCAGACCCCTAGGTATCAGAGTAGCCCACAAACCAACAACCAGCCTGCGACAGCTACTGACGAAAGTAAGGGATCCCTTACCCACAAACAATAAAACTAATGTAATATACAAAATACCATGCAAGGGCTGTGAGAAACATTACATAGGCGAAACACGATCCACCAACTAGCCACCAAGAGACACAACCAATTTTCACAGGTCTCAATACACACGGACAAAGAAGAACACGAATTCGACTGGGACAACATAACCGTAACAACACAAGCCAAACGGAGACACGCCAGGGAATTCCTGGAGGCCTGGCACTGCAACCGGAACTCCGTCAACAAACACATCGAACTGGACCCGATATACAAACCACTGAAAAACAGAACCGGAAGTAATACCAACCACCCCAGAAAACTGAGGCATATAAATAACAAGTGTGACAGAACACCAACACTTCACTGGAGGCGCACTGCTGATGTTACCTAGCAGGGTGGTGAAATATCTGCAATCAAACACACCGGCTGAGCAAGCAAGTCTGCAACCTCAAAGTTTAACAGGCATTTAGATAGATAAATGAACAGGCCAGGAATAGAGCGATACAGACCATGTGCAAGCAGATGGTAATTCACATTGGCATCAAGGTCAGCACAGATATGTCAGATATGGTGGACTGAAGGGCCTGTTCCTGTGTTGTATTGTTCCATGTAATTCACATTAAACCAAGGTACACTCCTTCAAATGTTCCTATTCTTTGTTTTATCTTGTTATTTTACCAATGCAATTTTGAGACTGTGTAGAAGCCTCACACATGTGCACTTGCTATCTCTGGAGATCCTTGTAAATCTCTTCACTTTCTTCTGTAGAAGAATAATGCACAAGAGAAAGGAGAGAAATATGATCAATAGAGGTACACTAACCATTATAGCTCTTCGCCTCTTTTGTTGGTTCTGCAGTACAGGCCCTAGGGACAATACAGTGGGTGTAACAATGTGTTTTGCTACCTTTCTCCTGTCCTTCAATGGTTTTGACAAGAGACCTGTTTGCCCACTCTATTGGACGAGGACTCCCTCCATGTTGATTTCTTATTCAGCCAGCACCTTCTCTGCTGCATTTACGAATTTCTGGTTCCTTTGGAAGTTACCTTGTGTCCTACCATCTAATCTTACTGATCTCTGACATAATTGCAGCAAAAAAAAACTACCCTTTATTGGGCAGTTGCACACTTTCAACAATTATCTGCTTTGGTGGATTTTTTTTACCGTTTTAATTGGCAAGTTGCCTACTGGCATCACTGATTCTAATCAGAGCTGGCACTGCCAACTCCACTGGGTGATTGCTACATACGTCCTGCCCACTGCCTATCTGGTGTATGATCCACATGAAAATCTATCTATATATAATCTGCTTTATATTGTGTGATGCAGCTGCAGATGACTGACTCTGCTTTCTTGGTGTGGGAGGGCGAGAAAAGTAAATAATGCAATACTGCAAAACTGGCCGGAATGTCTTTACATTTTACGTTTCGTATTCCTCTATTACCTCAACATCCAGAAGCCCCTCGCTCCTCTTTTCACTAGGGGTCAAGGGCCACTGCCCCTCTTGTCTCTGTGAACTGGTGCCAGTCCAGTGTTTGTGAGCAGACAGAAAAGGGTTATATTTAGAAAGAGGGTGACATGTCACTTGGCACCCAGTTGAAATCGTACCTGGGTGTTCACACATGTAGCACGCTGGTACGTGAGGATTGTGGGTCTTTGGAACTCTTTGCCACAGAGTGCTGAAGAGTCAGAGTTCATTTATACATTGAAGGACGAGATAGATAGATTCTTGATCAGTAGCAGGGTCAAGACTTACAGGGAAAGGGCAGAGAAGTGGTTGTGAGGAATACTGGGTCACCATGATCTTATTGAATGGTGGAGCAGGCTCACGGGCTGAATGGTCTACTCCTGTTTCTATTTCTTATAGCTTTATGGTTCTATAGTACCTGATGAGAATAATATGCTGTTTGTTGCTGAGCCCATTTCTTGTGTCACAAGAATAGCCAATTGTGATGACAGTGTAGTAGACTGTCTCAGATAAAATATGCTTGGTTATTTAGAAAGTACACGGTCTCTGGGGCGTTGATTATTTCAGTTAGCTAGACAGCTGGTTTGTGATGCTAACAGTTGTGGGTTCAATTCCCACACCAGTTGAGGTTACCACAAGGACTTTCCTTCTCAACCTCTCCCCTCCCTGAGGTGTGGTGACATTGTGGACAGTCCAGTACAAATACAGTCTCACCTGGCACTCCTGCTTAAGAAGTCGAAGTATATAAAGTGCAGAATCCAGATGCTTAAAAGTGTTTCAATGCGCAAACATCATTCTTGCAATGTTCTACTCCTGTGCCCACCATTTATAACAATCCTGATTAATTAATGTTGAAACAAATTCATCATTGTGTGAGCTCAAGTAGTTTCTAACTAATCAGGGCTAAACAGATTAAACTGTTTCCATCTAAATCCACTTTGAATTAACAGTGAAACAGAGGTGGTGAATGACAACAAGGTGTGAGACTCTCAGCATGCGATTAGTGTGTGCCATCTGCCTTCAATGTTATTCAAGGCTTTATCCAGGTGGAAGTGATGTACACTGGCAAGACCTGTAATTTATGTTCAACAAGATCTTTTGGAGCATTTCTACACACTACAGAAACTTGAGAGAGAAAACAAAAAGTTCTAAATTTCAGTTTAAATAACATACATAACAGGAGTGAAGAAGAGATAGACTTCTGAATGGCAAGTGCGTAAGTCTAAGAGGCTATAATCAAACTCAGCACCTTCAACTATGTAAAGCAGTTCAGTCATTCCCTTCCACTTAACTAATAAAATGAAAAGTGAAGTTAAGAATTATATATAGCACCTTTCAGACAGGAAAGCATCCGGACGTGCTTTACAAGAGTGTTATTCAGTGTAACTGAGTAAAAAAATATTTAAGGAGTAGAATCTCAAACCTGAGACCAAGCACACAGTTTACAAAGCAGTGTTGTTCCCCATGCTCCTGTATGCTTCAGAGACATGAAGAACCTATAGCAAGATCCTCAAAGAACAGGAGAACTATCACCAATCTTGCCTTTGCAAGATCCTCCAATCCACTGACAGAAAAGACTGTACATCAGCAGTGTCCTTTCCAATTCAACTTGCCCATCATTGAGGTGCCAATCACTGAAAACCAACTCTGCTAGGTTGTACATGATGATCATGCATCTGACATCAGACTTCCAAAGCAACTGCTGTACTTGGAAGACAGTTGTAGCAGGTTACTCACAAAAGGACAATCGCAATTCTTTCAGAATGTCCTCACAGCATAACTTAAGACTACATCGCCATTACCATCCCCACTAAGTCATGCAAGTCCTTTAGGGAAGGAAACTGCCATCCATACCTGATCTGGCCTACATGTGACTCCAGACCCACAGCAATGTGTTGCCTCTTAATACAGTTAGGGATGGGTAAGAAATGTGACACTCACATCCCATGAATGAATTTTAAAAAGTCTCTGTTTCATGACTGACTGATGTGGAGAAGGTTCATTCCAGAAGGCACCAAACACACATCAAGAGAATTCATCAGGAATACATACAGATGAAGTCAAGGTGTTGGATGAAGTGCACAAATCCCCCAACAACCCAATCTATCTAACTTTTCTAGTGCCACCTGTTCCATAGAGTATGCAGATCATCCATTGGTCTCATCAGGCATCTTAGAACTCATCAAACCAGAGGAACTGCCAAAGACAACATTGGCAAGATTTGACATTGAACCACAGAATGAAACATCAGGACAGGTGGCCAATCCTTTATCCAAGAGGTAGGCATTACTTAGCATCTTGAAGGAATAAAGAAAGGTGGAAACACTTAGAGAGAGAATTCCAGTGTTCAAGCCCTAAGCCTGGGGAGGCAATAAGCTAGAGGTATTATCACAAGACTATTAATCCAGAGACCCAGGTAATATTCTGGTGACCTGAGTTCAAATCCCACTATGGCAGATAGTGGGATTTGAATTCGATAAAAGAAATCTGGAAATAAGAACCTAATGGCGACCATGAAATCGTTGTCAATTGTCAGAAAAACCCATCTGGTTCAGTAATGTCCCTTAGGGAAGGAAACTGTCGTCCTTACTTGATCTTGTCTACATGTGGCTCCAGACCCATAGCAAAGTGGTTGACTCTCAACCGCCCTCTGGGCAATAAATGCTGGCCTAGTCACGGAGGCTGTCATCCTGCGAACGAATTAAAAAAAGCCGCTAAAACGTTGCCTCTAATGTTTCAGCAGTTAAAATCGGAAATGTGTAAGGGGCCAGAACTGGAGGTGCATGGAGATCTCAGAGTTGGCCAGCTGGAGGAAGTTTTAGAACTGGACGGAGTGATAGATTTGAAAGCAAGGATGCAAATAGTAGAGTTCAGATGCTATTGAACCAGGAGCCAATACAGGTCAGCGAGCAAAGGGCTAAGGGAACTAGCAAGAGAGCAGCAGAACGTTAGATGAGCTCAACTTTCTGGTGAGGGGTGGAAGATGGGGGTCAAGCCTGCAGGAGTATTAGTTATTCAGGGCTGGGTGTAACAAGGTCATGGATGAGGATTTGTGCAGCAGCTTAGCTGAGTTGGGGGAGGATTGGGACGCTGCTGTTCGGGTGATAGTTGGGATTCTGACGCACTTTAAACTCCAAGGTGTCTTTTAGGACCTCCATGTGCCAGCGAACTGATGCTAAGTGACTAAGAGGCTTCCAGTCAATGGGGGGGGGCATCGGTAGATATTCGTCGCTTTTCCCGGCCCCCCTTCTCCCCTCCCAAACTACCTTTTCTCTCCCCTGTTCCAGCCCCTCCCCTTGCCCTCCAAATCGCCCGTCTCCCCTATCCCGCCCCCACGGCGTGCTCCGGGAGGCAGCACCGGCTCAGCTCCAGTCTGTGCAAGCGGATAACGGAACCGCATCGTGCTTTCTGTGCCCGGTGTCCGTGCAGCAAGGAGATCACAGCAAGATGATGATGGCCTTCACGCTGACCGTCTCCTCTCTGCTTCTCGCTTGCGAAAGTAAGTGCAAAATGCATCTCTTCCATTACCTAGACTCTGCCTGCCAGATGTGACCGACATGTGTATTGACAGAAATAAACAGGAAAGGGGGGAGAGAGAGAGGGAATGGGAGCTGCGGGGGGGTTCTTGTCTGACAGTGTTGTTTCACATTGAGAATTGTACAGATATTTATTTTGCAGCAGGTTAGTGTGTAAGCACCAACACGCGGGTTCTTGCAGTTCGGGCTCTGCTTGCTGTTTATTTCAAAAGAATTGTTTTCTCGCATTTGCTCCGACTCTAGGTCAGTTGCGACGAAAGAGTTGGCAAAAATTGTCTTGTTGTCGTCTCTTTGGTTTTTTTTGTGTGGGGGTGGGGGGGAATCCGGAAACTGACGCAAAGAGACCAACTTGGAGAGTACGGTGGGATTTGGAAGTAGAGCACATGTTTTGGAGGAACACAGCTGTCCCAGACTCATTTTGCATGACTAGGTATTTTATTTTTCCTAGCCGGTCTTTCTAGAACAGCGTAGAAATACTTCGCATATGTCAGCAACAATTCAGGAGGTTTGGTACTGTCCTTGGCGGAAGAACGAGCTGATAGTGTTGACGCATTGCCGTGAATTCCTGCGTGTTATTCCCTTGCCAGGAACATGCTAAAGTTTCAGCATCTCCTGCATTTGTTAACATGGTCTATTTTTTTTGAAAGCAAGGATGCAAATAGTAGAGTTCAGATGCTGTTGGACCAAAAGCCAATACAGGTCAGTGACCAAAGGCCTAAGGGAAACTGGCAAGAGAACCGGACAATGTTAGATGAGCTCAACTTTCTGGCGAGGAGTGGAAGATGGGAGTCAAGCCGCAGGTGCAGGACCTCCAGTTTATTGAGATACTCTTCTGAACCAACCCCTCACCGCCCAGCATACATTAATACTTTTTATGGAAAACATCATCACCTGCAATGTTCCATGTAAGATTTCAATGAATTTGAAGACCAGGATATGAAACCTGATAAGATTCATTAGACAGCAGTGATCCTCCCACAGCTATATACAACACAGACTTGACTGACTTACAGGAGACAGCACAATGCACTGGAGAAATAGCACCAGTGATACCTTCACAAGGTTCTCCAAATTCAGTAGTTAGGAAGGTGGTCCAACAGCAGTGTCCTTTCCCAAGCCAGCATGCCCAGCAACTAGGTACTAATTGCTTAAAACCAGCTGCTCTGACTGGGACATGCTATTCATATGCCTGCCATGTGACTCCTGAAGCAATTATTCTATTCAAAATCGAAGGCAGCAGGAAAATCCCAGGAAGACCTCCTCCTGATGGCCCTCAAAGCATCCTTCAAGAGATCAAACTGTCTACTGACACATGGGAATCTCTGGCCTGTGACTGGAATGGAGAAGATTGTTCAGAGAAGCACTGAGCACAATGAGAAACACCATCAGGAATATGCAATTTCAAAGGAGAGATGTCGAAAAGATTGCAAAAAACTCCAAACAGCCAATCTGCCTGATCCTTTAAGCAACACTGTCCTGCATGTGGCAAGGGCTGCAGATCATAAAATAGGTTCTTCAGCTATCTCAGAAGCCATGGAACCAGAGAACAAGCAGGTCATTCTCAATCCCAAGGAATTCTCTGAGCACAAAACTCCAGGAAGCTTCTTCTTATATCAAAACATTCCCAGAATCCTTCTGTATGTTTTCATTCATTCTCAGGAATCCAGCATGCATATTGATACACACTCCAGGGACCTTCCACACTTCCAGGAGCTTCCAGTAAATCTTGACACACACCCTTGCTAGTGCCAGCTACTTAAAGAGAAATACTGTTATCCCTGCAGAGAAACTACTGGCACTAAATCAAACACAAATAAATAGTGTAGAATCCCCTAAGATGCGTAAAAACAGAAAACTGCCAGTCTGGCAGTATCTGTGGAGAAAAAAAGACAGTTCAAATCGATGGTTTGAAATGTGTGTAATTGATGTTCAGCAGGTGGAGAAATAAAGAAGAAAAGTCAGGGATAGGTTGTAGAGTAGGACAGATTAAATAATAAGGTTTCATGCTCTGAAGCCAAAGAAATTGGTAGTAGGACAAGTGCAGAAATTAAAATTGCATCAAGACGGCATGTGAGTGGCAGGACAGCAGCTATCTGAATGCAATGTTAAGAAATGAAGAGAAAAGAAAAGCAAGAAAGAACAAATAGGGGCAAAGTTATGATTTGAAATTGTCGAAAACACTGTTGAGAGCAGAAGGCTGAAGGGTTCATATGAAAGATGAGGTGCTGTTCCTTAAATTTGTGTCGAGTTAACGTGGGACACTGCAGTGAGCCAAAGACAGAGAGATCAGTGTGGGAATGAGGAATGGAACTAAAATGACATGCAATTGAAAGATACATATCACACTTGTGGTCTAACTGGAGATGTTTTCCAAAGTAGTCATCCTGGTTGCACTTGACTTTTCTAATGCAAAGGAGGACATCATGAGGAGTGAATACAATGCTCTAAATTGAAAGAAATGCAAGTGAATCAACGTTTCAGTTTAAACTTTTTGTAATGTCCGTCACCATGTAACATATATTCCCTTTGTTCTCCTCACTGTCCACACTTCACATTCTCAAAACCTGTTACCTTTTGAACTTCTCCCAGTTCTGATGATAGGTAATATTTTTTTCTTTCTCTGTAGATGCTGCCTTACCTGCTGAGTCTTCCCAACATTTTCTGTCTTTAATTCAAGTTTTCAGCCTCCAGTATTTTTTCTTCTAGGCTAACAGAAGTTTGATAACCTCAAGTCCCTTTCAACTTGGGTACAAATTGACCTGAGTACAGGTTCAAAAGCAAAACCCATTTGCAACTAGGGAGGCTGCCTGTAAATGTTTTGCTACAGTTTTACAGAATAAGGCTGAGGCTACATCTGTATAGAGTTTTGGTTTCTTTGTTAAAGAAATAATGTACAGATGTTCAAGGCAGTTCGGAGAAGGTTGACTTATTCCTGGAATGAAGGAGTAATCTTACAAGGAAAGGTTGGACAGGCTGTATCCCTTTCAGTTTAGAAGAATGAGAGGTGATCTTATTGAAACATTTAAGATTCCTGAGAGAACTTGATAAGACGGATGCTAAGATTATTGGAGAGAAAAGCCTTAGGGAGCACAGTTAGATGAGGATTTTTTTCTCTTAGAAGGTTGTGAATCTTTAGAAATCTGTTCCCCAGAAATTGCTGAAGCTGGGGTAATAGAATATTTTTAAGACAGAGCTGGATAGATTCTTGACTAACAAGAGAGTCAATGATTATCGGCGTGGGCGAGAATGAATTTAAGCCACTGTCAGATCAGTCCTGATCTTATTGAATGCCAGAGCAAGTTGGAGGGCCCAAATGGCCTGCTCCCTCCTTCTAATTTGTATGTTTGCATATGATACAAGTTATTGCTGTTTCTGTTTTATTGTGGTGCCACACCTCTGTGAAATGAGCTTAAGCACTGTCCCACAGTACTGGTTAACTTTTCTTTCCAAAATAACATTGATTCCTGCTCTGTTTAGATCAATCACCTAGAACTGGTCCTTCCTGCTTTAGAACTAATCTCTATGCCCTAGGATTCTGAAACCCTCCCTCTTGCATCTTTTCTTTTGCAGCTAAACATTAACCTGTTTTACCATACTATTCCCATACTCATCAGCCTGTGTCACTGGGAAAGATCCAGAGATAAATGCCTGTGAAACCTTCCTTTTTAACCAATGAAATCTCTGGAAGTCCGACATCAGGACTTCAACCCTCTTCCTTCTAATATCGCTGGTCCCACGTGGATCACAACTTCTGGCTGTTCCCCCCCCCTTTCCTCAAAACCTTCTCTACACTCACTCTGACTGATGTTGTTTGCCTTGGCTCTAGACTAATAATTTGTGGGGATTCACGTGTGCCTTGAAATGGCCCCACGAGTACTGAATCCCCTATATCCACTGTATGACAGTAGTTCACTATGTCTCCCTCTGTGATCGTCTGCCTGTTAGCACCTCGGGTGTGCTCTCAATTGCATTCCCCCAAGATGTCTGCACCCTCACTGGTATTCGGTGCTAAAATCCATTTTGAGACTCTCCTGAGAGGGTTGCTGTCTGCTTGTTCCTATTTCACTGGATGGTTTCTGACTTACTATCTTCCTAAACCTAAAGGGTTGCAGATAAGCTAAAGTGAATGTGTAAGGTTGGTGCAGAACAGACAAACATGGTACCATGACAGCAGGTCTCCTGGTAGGAGTAGTTACAAGCTGAGATAGAAAACAAAACAGAGAAAACATAATAACTCACTTATATTGAACAACCTGACACCTCTTAAAATAGCAATGAAAATTTTCAGCTAAAAACATGAGCATTCATTTGTTCATAATATCTGTACCACTTTGCTTTAATCTGTTACTCAAAATAAATATTTAAATGCAGTTTTGATTTACATTCAAGTCAATTTAAATTCCAATTGAGACCAATTGCAGTCCTCTTTGCAAATTAATATTTCGTAAAAATATTGTATTATATTTCCGTTCAAGATCTAGCCATTTGGACTGCTGTTAAGGTGCAAGTTGAGCAAAGTTACATGGTTGCACAAAACACAATAAACTGAGAATCAAAGTTGTTATTCTGAAGATCCTTTCAATTTTGACAAACAGCTTATGACAAATCTTGCAAGTGGTCTAATTCTATTTGGGCACATTGCTGGTGAAACCAGTTTTTTTTAATATATTACCGTGATTGTGATGGCCTTACTTCTTCAAATAAAAACCCCCTTTTCCCTCATTTCAACAACCCCTCTCAAAGTATTGACTGCTGAATTTATGATCAACAGTAATCCTCCAGACCATAATCACTTGACCATTCAGCATTTGCAGTCAGGGCAGTGACCGCAGAAATGGTGTTTAACAATACTGCAGGACAATCCAATCCTGTTCTCACATTGATTGACCAGTAGATGTCATTGAACAGCAACTATGAGTGGTAACTTTTGCCATTTTTCTCCTTCTACATCCAGGCAACCTAC